TTCTACAACAACCGTTTTATAAATCAATTGTATTTAATATATTATGTATTGCACATTTGTAAATTGTACCATATTCTTAATAAATTGTTTAATTTTTATTTAACTTACTTATATTATTCATAGATTTGGTATTTAGAGAGCTTTTAAAATATAAAGAAATAAGCATATTGTGATTTATTTTCGACATTAAAAATTATATTACTAGTTTGAAATTCAAAAAAATATATTGAAATTATTGCCTGGACTGATTTATTAAAATTTTACGATAAATCAGATATTTACGAGGCCTTGCTTGATATTTTATGTATAAATTGTCGGCCCGGCATAAAGTTACACTAATTACCCTGTCCAAAAATCAATAAACTTATGGCCTGATCCAAAAATCTTTTAAACATTAATTTCCGGCCCAATTTAAAAAATTTCCAGGCCTGTTTTAATTTTATAAAACATTTAGGCCTGCTGGCCTTGCAAGATCTCTAGCTTAGAACTTAAACGAAAGAGTTCTGGTAATATTTGTAAAGTGATGGTTACCAGGAAAACATCCTAGAAGTATTCCTATTTCTTAACATTTTCCATCCTAGGCTTATCATTCTTTAAATGGGTTTTAGTTCTTATCTGATCAATAAATATTAAAAAAATGAATTAAACAACATAAACATATCATACGTAATTTTCTTTTTTATAGATCAATCACTATTTTATTAATTTAAAAATGAATAAAATTTAGAAAATAAGATACTATATATCAAAATAAAATAAAAAAATGTTTAAAGAAACCGTGATTACGTAATGGCACCTAGTGACAGTGAGTGACGTCAATTGAACGGGATCACCCAAAATTAAGTGCATTTTTTGGTCTGGGTGCTTCAAAAAAAATCTCGGCTCTGGTTATAAAAGACCCGATTGTGTCAAAAGCAATGGTGATTAAAGTGATATTAGGAATGTTACTATATTTATTAATTTTTCTAATTTCTACTTTAACCAAAGAAATGGAGCTAAAGGATGGTGCAAAACGATCCTACTTGCAAATGGTGATACATAAAAATGTTTTGTATTTTTTTTTATACTGATAGAAAAATAATAATAAACTAGGGGCGAGCCTAAAAAGGTGTTTTTTTTATAAACCCGGACCCGACTAAATATTTTGAAATATATAATATGTATAAATTGTATCATGGAATAATATATCACATTTACTCGCTTCTTCATATTTCCTTGACATATAATACCTAGACTGACGATGGATTCATTAAAAGTGTACAACAATTAAAACATCGGGGACGCCATTTTGATTACCCGTATCGTTATTAAAAATTTTAAACTAGAGGTCATATTCTTATGTCTGACGCAAACTTTATTAAAGAATTGCCTTGTCATCTAGATAATAAGGAAGAAAGTTATCAACTTAATAGTCCTTTTTAATATAAGAATGATTACTATATGCAAAATGGCGGTGCAGCTGATTTTCATTCAACGACGCTTTCAGATGCTTTATTATTATGTCATTGATCTCTCGTTAGAAAATACCTCAAAAGAGTTAAATTATTTTCTAATTATCATTATTATTATTTTAAGTCAAATCAGAGTTTTAATTTTCCCTTATATACTTTCTTTCTTTCTTTCTACTAGATAAATAAAACATTAATTTAGGTTATTTATAATTTTTTAGTCAAAAATTTAGTGTTTGCAACGGTCCGGTCCGACCGGTCGGACCGACGGTCCGGTCCGGTCCAGTCCGGTCCGGTCTTATTAGACTTTTCGGTCCTATGGGACGGTCCCGTCCAACAACACGGTCCCACGGTCCGGTCCGGTCCGACCGAAGACCGATTAAAGAATATAAAAGTTTACTATAAATTGCTTTATAGTTAATGTGTATGTACATGAACATATTAAATATGATTATTTAATGCCTAACACTATATAATATCTAATTCATCGTTTACTTTTTATATTCTAAATTCAATATTCATAGTTTACTTTTTATATTCTTCTTTGATTAGGCATTTGTGTATAATATAATAAAAATGAATTGATGATATAATTGAAATATTAATAGGGTAATTTAACTATTCATTTTTAATAAATTTAAATGCAGAATAAAACTTTTGTAGCTTTATAAAAAAATTTTTTTTAGGTGGGACCGGACCGCCTGGACCGGACCGGACCGACGGTCCCACGGTCCGGTCTCATTTGACTTAACGGTCCATCGGTCCGGTCCCAGTTTAGAAAAAAAAGACCGGACCGGACCGGACCGTTGCAAACACTACAAAAATTACATAAACTATAATAAATAGTTACTATAAAACAATTAATTGCATTATAATATAATAAAATTATCAAATTCATTAATATTAGGTAATTTGTTTTTTATAAATTATCAAATTTTTTAAAATATTTGAAAATAACTTATAGTGACCTGACGATTTTAATTTGTCCTTATGCACTTCTTACTCCACTAGGTAAATAAAATAGTTATTAAGAGACATATTTTAATTTTTAGGCAATCAAAAATCATTAATTAAGAAACGTGTAAGTTTTTTTTAATCATCTCTTTAGAATAATGAAATTTTAAGTTATAAGCCGAAAAACAAACTGCAAAATAGCGATTGATACATATTTCAAAGCTCCTTAAACCAGGTCCCGATATTTATTTAAACTCTAGCAATAAAAATTTAAACGGACAGGCCAATATTTTTTTTTACAAACCCTGAATCGACAGTGCAATTTCTGAGTAAGGTGTAGATGGAATTTCTCAACGCTGCAGAATTGGCCATAGTTTTTTTTCCAGTGGAACAAACATCATTTAGTGGCTCTGCTCGTTTATGGAAATATATTTATATTTATTTATAATATATGTATTCGGTTAAAAAGAATTGATGGATGGATTGTTTATAATATTTATAAATTTTCATTTCTAAACTAAACTGAAAAACATATTCATATAAAATTACTTACATTTTTTTTCACGATCAACTAATTTACCAAGTTTTTATTATACCTTATTTTCTTTAATATTCCACGCTTCCCTTTATTTATAATTGAGTAAAGGCTTAAATTTGGCTAATTCGGCTTCATCAACAGCTTACCAAACTAAATTTATTACTGCTTTCTCCAAGCTATATTTTCAAGAATAACTCCAAACTAAGAAAAAGTTTTTATGAGAAAAAATAGACTATGCCATTAGTTAACTAAATTTCTGGGTAAAAATAGAGCAATTTGCCAATTAATGGAATAATCTATGTTAGTCAAATGAGTTAGTTATTTATTAATCCAATATCAAAAGTTAAAACAGAGAATAATGTAAACTCAGCTTTTCATAAAATAACTAAGGGTATGGATATTTATTTCCCATCTAAATGTGATATTTAAAATTTTTATGTTGAGGGGAAAAGATATGTATATAAATATATGATATAAAATTAGCATTTTAAAAATAAGAAAACCTAATATATTAATTTCACACCTTAAAAATATTGGAAGTAATAAAAATTTTGGCTGTATTTGAATAAGAAAAATTATATAAACCAAAAAATTAGCATAGCAAAAAAATAAGATATACCAAAACTATAAAAATAAATAAATTTTATTTTATTAGAATAAAATTTCCAAAATAATATTTAAACTTGTTTTCCCTCGTTTTTTATTATTGAAAAACATTTTTTTTACACTGGCAAAAACCTGAGTCCTAAAAATGGCTTTTTTAAATTGGGCCTGGCTTTAAAGAAATAATAATTTGGGCCATGCTAAGAATATTAAAAGATAAGCCTGGCCAATGCCATAACCATTTTTTGAGAATAAAATTTGCAAAGAATTTAATAAATTCTGGGCAGCCCAGCATGAAAAAAATTGTACACTGTTTGCCCAACCTAGCCTTTATTTTTTTATCCCTGCCCAAGGACCAGGCCTTCTAGCTGTGTCATCCCAATCTCTAACTTATATTATAGAATATATATTTATTTTTAAAGGATGTATTTTTAACTTTATTTCTTTAAATGATACTTTTACAATTGATAAAAAATAATCTAAATACACTCTTATTTTTTATATAAATAAGTGAGGTAACAAGAATATGTTAGGATCAATGTGTTTCATTAAGAATTAATATATTCCATCATATTTGGAATACCTCTCTATGAATTTCAAACAATTTTACCAAGAACCTAGTAACTTAATATAATTTATATTAGTTTTCCTTAGATTTTTTTATATAAATTATGAATGAATCAAAGGTTAAAGGCAAAATTGGCTATGGTCCATAAAATAGTTATTCTAAACATGCTGTATATTTACAGTAAAATCCAGTATTTATAAATAAGGAAAAATAGTTATGTGTTTAAGATCTCACATGTGATCAGTTTTTTATTTGGGGTGGGGGGTATTAAAAATTTTTTTGGCTTGACCAAATGTAGATCACTAATACACAATATGTTTTATGGTGTCATTAGGGTTGTGTATCATTGTCTTAGGGGGGGGGGTCTAGAGAAGAGGTGTGCAATCGGTGAGTTTTAGCTATTAAAATGTAATCATGGTGGATTAAAAATATTTTTAAAACAAGAAGTAAAATAATTGAAATGGGCATAAATTAACAAAAATATTTTATTTCATATTTTGTCAGAAGTAGGAATATATTAAAATCAATTTTTTCACAATGGTTAAACAAAATATTCTTTTTTTTTATATATGGGCAGGCCAAGTGGACATTTTTTCCTCAATGGTATTAGTGAGCATAGGTTCAAAAAGATTTTAACAATGGGCAGATAAATTAAAAGCCTCCCCACTTCAGACTTCTATTCTACAGAGCTCTAGTTAAATTTCTAATTATATAGTAAATATTAAATTGACTGTGACTATTTTTTAGATACTTACTTTATATGACTAAATATTTGATTTTTTTGAGCTTTATATTTATTAAGTTAATTAAAAGAATTACAATGTTTCAATCATGTTATAACAATAAATTGAATTTATAAAATAATAAATTTTATTTCATAATTATATACAAACTATAATATATCACATTGCTAAAATGAATAAAATATACAAAAACAATTAAGTGCATAAAGTACAATTCTGGTTAAATCTTATTGTAAAGAAGAGATGACAAATATTAATTTTAATAACCATCCTAAAGACATAATTAAAATTGGAATTCTTTTTTGACATTCAGTTCATATGCCTAACATATATGATTTTTTGATATTTATTAAGTTTTAATAAAGAAATATAAGGTTCCAATCATGTTACAATAATAATAAATTCAATTTACAAAATAATGCAATTTTATTTTATAATCATATTATACAAAAAAAATAACCGTTTAAGATACAATTGGAGTTATCTTCTGCCTCCTCTCCCTCTACCACGTCCCCCTCTGCCCCTGCCTCTTCCTGGTCTACCAGATCTTGCACGTGCTATAATTTTGTGAATATTTAAAATATGTATTAAAATAATTACGATCTCTTCTCTTTCTAGGGCCTTCATCAGTTAGAAGATTATCTATATTAAGTGGATCTGGTAATATAAAATATCTTATATTATTTCCACGAATACTCAAGGTATCCTGGGTAATTGGTTCCCCATTTTTAATTGTCACTTTACAAGATTTTAAATGGGTATTCATGGACATGTCGACGCCTATAATTGAAAACGGTGTTTAAAAATTATTTTAGAAATAGCAAACCAGTTATAGTTCCATGAATTTGAGTACCATTTTTTAGTTCTATGGTAACCGTTTCATGGCTCATCTTCATTAAAAATCTATGAAAATATGATGGTTTATATATATATATAAGGTATAATACTTGACTAATTTCATTTATATATAATATGGCGGCTACAATTTAAAAAAATGTGAGAATTCTGAATATTTTATATCCACAAAATATGTACAAAAATGTTGTCATGTTGTATTTCTTTCACATTGTAGTTTAAATCTAACAGGTGTTTTTTGACAAAAATACAAATGTCTTTATATTCTTAGATTAGAGTAAAAGTAATATTTATAGTAAAAATAAGGTATGAGTTTAACACCATCTAACACGGGATGAGGGGGGAGGGGGGGGGGGGAGTGAAGAGTACGAATTATTACGATATTAAAATCGCCAGAGAAATTGTTGATATATATAACTAATGAAATTGTATAATAAATATTTTTAAATTAGAGTAATTGAAGGAGTAATATTATTTAGACCCTATCAACCTATAGAATTACACCCCCGCCCCCATACACTTCCAAATTTTTTTTTCCTTAAAAATGTGCATATTCTATTTAAAAAAATGTTTGTTTAATAAGATATGATTAATTTAATAAAAAACGTAAAACTAAAATTTCTTAAAAATTTAATAGGCTTTCAAAAAACAGATATAATATATTCAGTGGCGTCGCTAGGGAAGGGGGGGCTCGAGCCCCCTGAAAATTTTTAATAGCCCTCTGTAGCAATTTTTTTTAAATTACTCCTTAATATCCCCTTGAACTAAAAAAAATTGTTTTAATTCTGAACAATTTCTATTATAATTCTATTGAGTAATATATAGATTTAATTTTATTATTTAAATATTAATAAGACTATATAAATTTTTATTAAAAGGAATACTATTTCAATTATTAGATTAGATTAATACATAAATTATATTTTCACTATGTCAGCTTGTGATCAAATTCTATGTTAAAAGTGTATCAATATCACTCACTAAATATTAATTTAGCATTATCAGTTGAATCATAATTGACTTTTATTATTTAAATTAATATATAGCCCTAATTAAATTAATACAATCATTTAATAATTGAAAATTAAAAAATTTAATTGTATTTAGCCGAGTTTAATATCACTAATCTATTGATTTTTATATTTATTTATCTTGTCACTTTCTAAAATTATTTTCAAGGTCCAAATCCAAATAATATAAGAGATTTATTTATAAAAAATAAGTAGACATATCAGGCGCGTACGCAGGAATTTGGTCTGGGGGGGGGGGGGGGGGATAATAAATTTTTTTGAGAAATAATATTGTTTTTTAAAAATATCAAGCATAAATTTATTAGGACTAATAACTATTCCTAATATACAATTTTAAATTAATGTGAATTATAAAAAAATTATATGTAAAGAATCACTTAAATGACCCAAAATAGAAATTTGAATTTTTTGAGCCTTTACACAAAATGTTTCTTAGGAATAATTGTATTTTGTATGTTATATATTTACAATGTAAAATCCAATCTTCGTTGGAATTGAGCTAATTTTTCAATTATCTCACCCTTACTTGTCGTCAAATGCCTATGAATATTCAAAAGATCCAAACCTTTCAATCTACTTTCACATATTGTACTTCTTGGTATGTTTTTCAGAGACCTGCAGGCTCGACCCCTGGGCCGGACAGTATTTTAATTTTTTATAATACACCCGGGCCAGGCCCAAATTTTTTTTAAAAAAACAAAATCCGGGCCGGGCCTGAAAATTTTATTTTCAAAAAAGCCGGGCTGAGCCTGTAAATTTAAAAAAAAAGCCGAGCGGCCTAAAAAAATTTTTAAAAAAAGCCGGGCCAGGCCTGAAATTTTTTTAAAAAAAAAGGCCTGATAATTTTTAAAAAAAAACCCCAGGCCGGGCCGTAAAAAATCTTTAAAAAAAATCCGGGCCATGCCCTGCAAATGGTACTTCTGCAGGCCTCTGTTATTCTTCTTAAAAAAGAGAGTGTTCTCTCATTAGTTTACTAATGGGAAGAGTTTATAAACCATTTTAATACATTGGGAATTTAATCTAAAATGTGTTTGAAATAATGCAGAGCATCCATAGCATTTTTTGGGACTATTTCAACTATAGTTAATCTTATAAACATAGTTATTCAGCTAGTAAGGCATCATAAGATACTTTAACATCTTCATAATAAAAATCTAACAAATATATTTTTTTCTATCACCATATGAAAAAGGTTGGGAAGGCTTTTGTGAAAGTAATATTTGCAGATGTAAGTGCTGCATGATATATTAAAAATTCATTTATTTGGGTTATAAATGTATCTGCATCTAAGATATACTCTTCTATTGATCCTATATTAATGTTTTAACGATGAGCTTGCCTTGCTACAAGTCGAGGGAGACAAATATTAAACACGTATAGCTCTGCTTTTGACTCAACAATAAAATATAAAATATGAAATTCTTCATCAACATTAGCCCTAATTTCCTTGAGTTCTGATAAAATGCTCTCCGCTTCCGCTATTCTCATCTTCTTAATCAAATCAATGTCATGTTTTTGAAAAGTAATACTTAAAATAGTTGTATAATTAAATAATACATTCTAATGAAAAATAAAATTTGGAATAAGCATTGAATCCAATAATTTTCTTGCTTCTGAGGAATAATTCTTTCAGGCCATTGTGATATTTTAGTAATAGCAAATAATTGGCTCTAAGAGGCTCTATCTCGTTGGACAAGGTTGCAATTTCTTTTTCCCTGTTGGACCAGAAGTTTCAGAAATAATTATTATTTGACTAGAAATTTGAAAATGGTAGATAAATACGCCACTAAAAATTTGAAAATAATAAGTAAATATTACGCCGGAAAACTTGAAATCGAAATTATTTGATAAAATAACTTATGAATGTGATAATAAATTTAATAAAATATATATTTAATATGAGATACGAATAAATATTAACAAATATAAATTAATATAAACAATAAAATTTTTGAAAAATATATCCGGCATCTGCATTTTTTGGATTTGAGGGGGATTTGTCCCCCTGCCCCCCCCCGGCTGCGTACACCAATGAGACATATAGTTTATAATCCTTTATTTTATATAATTATTTATAAAATATTAAGTAAAATGCCACTTTTGCAGACGTATTTGACAGTTATATAATATATTACAATTAATTTTTAAAATTTTACTAATAATTGCTTTTGATAATAAATATAAGTAATAATTTGCATTCAACTATTTAATCTATTTTTTTTAAATATTATTATAATTAATCATCTTATTATTTATCCCACAATGGATGTAATAAATTAGATATCTTATCTTCTCTTCTTTTATGTGTTTTTAGGAAAGATATTTTTTTCTTCTTTGAAAAACAGTTTTGAGTTAAATTTTTAATACGAATATATTTTAGATATTATTACATACTACTATTATTTTAAGATATACTATTTTAAGATATACTATACCATTAATTTGGTTTGGACCAGTTTCAAAGGCTTTTGAAAAATAAACATTAATAAATTAATAGTCGTGGATAATAATATAAAATAAACTGGTAAACAATTTGTTTTCTCAATGATATATAAAAAATGGATATAACTAGACCTACAAAAATATCGAATAATGGAATTATTTGTATTCGTTTAAATCAAATATTCATTATTCGTATTCCTACCAATAGTAAAATGATTATTCGATTCGAAAATTATATTTACCGTAAATTAAAAAGGATAGCATTTAAATTTATTTTGTAAAATTTAACTATGGATAAAAGACAAACAAATTTTATTAGTAAGATAATATAAAAGCATACATATATAGTATATTTATATATAATGTAGAAAAATCAATATAATATTCGTATCATGTAGAAGACAAATATACCAACAACAAATTTTTTAAACATAAAGTTTTTACAAAGAGTCAACAAACAAAGGAGAAATATCTGGTTCGCCCGTCATTCTTGACGGGATAGCTACTAGTTATAATTGTATATGTGTTATAAATTACATTTAAATAAATACTTTCTTCGTTCATCATAAAACAATTTTCTATTCGAATAAAAACAGCCGTTAACAACATTTAGAAATATAAAATGTTTCTTCATTATTCCTAGGAAATTTTATTAAATAGGAATAATTGCAAGTAATTCCTACTAATAATATAGGATTATTTTTCGATATTTATTAATATAAATTATTTTAATCGAATAATCTCGAATAATTCGATCGAATAATAGATAAAAAATTTCGACGAATAATATATTTTCCTTACTCGAATTCGATTCAAATTTTCGAATCGAATAATTGTGTTATTCGTATTCGTAAAATAAGAATCGAATCAAATCGAATATCGAATAACAAATAATTTGTTTTAGGTATAGATATAACTAATAAAAAAAGGGGATATCTAAAGAAATTTTGCTAAATACAACGATCAAGTTTATATTAAAAAGAAATTATGTTGGAAATTTAATTTATATTGATCTTCCTTTAAAAGCTTAAAATAAGATTTTCGATTAAACTTTATCTCCAAATCTATTTTGTAAAAAGCCTTTTGTGTTTTTTCATAAAAAAATTTTCAGAATGAAATCAAACATTTTCATTCAAATATTCGGTGCTTCTATCAATTTTACTATCTAGCATGATGAAATTTAAAGAATTTTTTCCTTGCTGCATATAATTTTGTTTTTCATATTAAGTTTTTATATATTATAAATAAATTTCTTAAATATAATCTATTTTACACCTATTTATTTCGGTATCCACTCTTTACAAAGAAACAAGCGAATGCCGTTTATACAGAATTTATAAAGAATTCACGGTGGCAGGCCTAGATAAAATCTATTAAATTTTATTTAAAACAAAAAGATGAATTTAAAATTATGATACAACATATCTAAATTTTAAAGTTTATATAATAGTATTATAAAATAATATAAATTTTAATATAAAATAAAATGAAATAAGTTAGTAAAATCGCGAGATATGTTATAAAAGGTTTATGTAAAAATTGGTATATTTATAAAAGGTCACAAATAGAAATCACGATATATTATATAAGAGCTCACTCAAATATTATAATTATTTTATTTTTATTTTAATTTTAATTTACCATTATTTTATTTTACATTTTATTTCACGTCTAAAACGAGAATTATTAAATAGAGAAAGA